TATTCAGTTTTAAATTAAAATTAAAATTAAAATTAAAATTAAAATTAAAATTAAAATTAAAATTAAAATTAAAATTAAAATCCAAACTCAGTTTCAATTTCAAATTCAATTTCAAATTCAATTTCAATTCCAATGTTTAATTCAATTTCAAAATCAACTTCAAATTCAAATTTAATTCCAAATTCAAAACTGAAATTAAAATTAAAATTAAAATTAAAGACGAATTAAATTAATATTAAAATTAAATTAAAATTAAACTTCACACTTACATTAAACTTCGAATTCAGATTCGTATTCAAATTCAAATTCAAATTCAATTTCAACTTCAACTTCAGATTCAACTTCAACTTCAAATTAAATTTGAATTTTAAATTTCAATTTCAAATTCATACACTCATATTTGAATTCAAATTTAGAGTTAGATTTAAATTTTGAATTTAAATTTTAAATTTAAATTTCAAATTTAAATATAGATTTAAATTTAAATTTAAATTCAAATTCAAATTCAAATTTAAATCCAAATTTAAATTCAATTTCAAAAGTTCAAGTTCGGCTTTCCGGAAAGCTTTGGATCTCACCAGTGCAAGTGGAATTCGTGATCTGAAAAGAGTATAAATAAATGAATAAATAAATAAATAACAAATGAATAAATAAATAAATAATTTAAAATTCATTTTATTTTCTTTTGTTTCAAAATGACTCACTGCATGCAAGTCGAAACAGCAGCGGCTTCGCCAGGTGCATCGAGTCGGACTTGGGGAAGAGGCACTGGAGTGGAAAGAAGAAATAAATTCAATTTTTGAAATTCAAAACAATTATATTTCAATTTAATCAACCATTTCTCACAATATAGCAAGAATCTCCGTCGCTTTCCCCGCCTCCTGTTGCTGCTGCTGCTGCTGCTGCGGCTGCGGGCTTGTGGGAAGCTGCGCTGGGGGCTGCTGCAGCTGCACGTACACCTGAACTGCAGCACGGCGCGCACAGCGCAGCTTTCCACCCTTGGGAAAACTGCTGCAGCTCAATAATTGGAGATCCGAATTCTCCTGCTGCAGGTTGCTGCGGCTCTGCTGCTGCTGCTGCTGCTGCTGCTGCTGGCCCCGGCGTCGCCTGCAGCTCCCGCACTGAGCGGTGCCGCGTCAGCCGCTGCCGCTTCAGCGCCAGCCAGCAGCACGGCGGCGGCGTCTGTGCTGCGCTGCTGCTGCTGCTGCTGCTGCAGCAAAGGGAAGGGACTTGGAAGCAAAACTACTGAGTGCAGCATTCAACAGAAGCTCACCGGCGAGCTGCGGGAGAAACCCGAAGCGCAGGAGAAGCACTTCGCTGGTTTTGCTGCAGCTGAGGCTCTGCTGCTGCTGCTGCTGCTGCTTCTGCTGCTGAAATTCCATTTCGGAGTTTTTAAAAAGCAAAATGGTTAAATGAAGTGGCGGCTCGCCTTTTTCCGTTTTGCTTCTGTCTTTATTCAATTCAACTTCGCCGGCTTCATTTGCAAGTCCCTGTTTGCCCCAGAAAGACTTGGAAAGAGAAGCAGCAGAGGGCTGAGGCGCAGCTTTCACATTGCTGCTGCTGCTGCTGCTGCTGGCGGCCTCGGGGTCCTCTGCTGCTGCGCTGCATGTCTTGCTGCTGATGGCCCTTAGTGCTGCCAAATAGGCATTTCGAGTTTGGGCAGAATTCGCAGAGTCGCGGCCGAGGCGGCCAGCGGCTGGATCGGCGCTGGCTGGCAGCCGATTCAGAATTTCCTGCAGCAGTTTCGTCTGCGAGAGCACCACCTGCAGCTCATTTTGAAGTGGAAACTGCGGAGAAAACACTTTAAAGACTTTTAAAATCAATTCTACCTTCTCCAAAGTGGATATCTTGGCCAGAACGCAGGCCAGAGGATCTTCCAGCTGCTGATCTGCATAGATATTCAGCTTTCGGTGAGGGGCCGTGGCCGCAAACGACACCAGAGTTTCAGTCATTTTGGGGGATTCACGGCCGCAAATGGAAATGAATGAGACAACGCATGCAATTAAATCGCATTAATTTGAATATTAACCGAGGAAAAAGCGTAAAAGCCCGCTAATGTCCCTCTCGCGCCTCTCGATGAGATGACGCAGGCGACAGAATCCTCAGCGAGCCACCGAGCTGTCCGTACACCCCAGCTCCAAAAATCCATGTCTGCCTCCTCCGCAGAGAAAATTCAAAAGTTTCACTTTTATTTATTCAGCATTTATCACCGCAGCATTGTTTTGTCTTGGCCCGCTGGAGCACCTCTTGTGGGGCTTGGCGGCGGCGGGAGCGACTGAGGCAGCCTCAAGGGCGATTTTAGCAAAAAGAGAAACCGTCAGCTTTATTTTTTCACTTTTTCTCGCCTTTAATGACTTAGAACCTCATTTTTTATTAACTTTCAGACTTTCGCTGCACCTCAGTCGCCAGATCACTCGCCTTGGGCCAGTTCATGTTGCAGCTTTCTTGAAATCGAAACCTGAACTGGGACCACTTTCGGTGCGATCTTGTGCTCATTCGTTTTAATTATCATTTATTTTAATTTTTAAATTAAATTTCATTTCGACTGTTTCAATTTAATCGAAAATTACTCAAGTTTACCGGAGCTTTCCCCCCCCTCCATTCAAGTTCAAGTTTGAACTTTAGGGCCTTTCTGCTGAAGGCTGCGGGTTGCTGCTTCCTTTGCTGCTGCAGCTGCTGCTGCTGCTGCTGCTGAAGCGAGGGCTACGGACGGACCCCTTTTGTTGCCTTCTGCTTCACTGCAGCATCTACGGTTTAGGGTTTAGGGTTTAGGGTTTAGGGTTTGGGCGATGTCGGACTTCGCGCGTCGAAAGGAGCGCATCCTCCGGGGCCTCTTCCCCGACAGCACCCCAACCAGCAGCAGCAGCAGCAGCAGCAGCAGCTTGAAGGAGGACCGGTCGTTCAAAGGATCTGTGGACAGTTTGCTGCTGCCGCTGTGTCTGCTGCTGAACTCCCACCCCGACTTCGTCACCACCAGCTGCTGCAGCGGCCGCATAACAGCATACATGCATGCATACACTGCAGCAGGCCGGCGCGAGAAGAGCAGCAGCAGACTTGTCTACGTGCAGCACGAGCCGCTGCCCCTTGCTGCTGCTGCTGCTGCTGCTGACGCAGACGCCCTCCTCCGCCGCATCCTCACCGGCGCGCAGCACTACCCCGCCAAGGCCTGCAGCAGCACCAGCAGCAGCAGCGGCAGCAGCAGCAGCAGCAGCGGCAGCAGCAGCAGCAGCAGCGGCAGCAACAGCAGCAGCAGCGGCAGCA